TAAATTACAGCTGAGTGGTTCTAGTAGAATAATCGAAGTAAATGGAACGTGAATCAAAGCTGTTCCTCCAAGGCCGCCTTTATGGCCTGTTTTCACAGTGAACTGTATCTCGAATTTCACTCTTTGGAGAGTAAAAAGAAAATAGTAGGGGATAAAATGGCTCAGTGACACAGCCTTTCACTCTCTTTCTGATTTTTTTTTTTTTCGTAATTTGGATTTATGCTCGTGCGTGTAGGCCCAGGAACCCATTTGAAGAGTCGTACGCGCAGCACGTGTTCAGATTTACCTCCCTAAGGTGCTCTGCTTTACTGAAATGCTACGAAGTTTCAATGCTTTTATTTTTACACGTTTTATATAGGTGGATTGTTGACCAAAATGTGATTTCTTATTATGTTCACCTGTTTCACATACAGACATGAATGTTGATACCTAAGATAGTCACGGGTCAGACTGCTTTTCTGACATCTCTACTCATGCTTACATGAGTTAAATGGGAACGTTTTTGGAAAGTATTTTAAGAAGTTTTTTAGATACTGACAGTTAAACCTACAGTTAAACCTTTTTTCCCCTTAGAAAGACTAGATTGTATCTGAATAAGTTAGTTATTTGAAATTTAAGCAAATAAATAGCACAGTGCGTGACTGTGAATGTAAGCACATGTGTCTGTGAAGCAGAAAATGTAGACAATATCTGTTAGCTGAGGCTGATAACCCTTCAGTCTTTAAGGCCTCCCAATACTTCCCATTTATAAAGCCTCATTTTCAGTTTCTTGTAATTTGGCTAGTTTTTAATTGCCAACTCGGGCTAAATTATTTATAGCAATACTTGTTCTTTCTGGCAATGAAATGAAGAAAGAATATATTGTGTCCCTGTTAGCAAATTCTGGTGATACTGTCTTTGAAAAATCTTCAGGCTGGGAATTTGGAGCTTCAGATTTCTCAGTGAGAACAGTCGTTGTATCAAGTATATCCCTTTTGCCATTCCTGTGAAACTACACGAAAATTTGGTATAGTTACACATCTTTGAAGAAATGCACTTCTCACATGCTCATAAGAGACTTTAGTTTATAGCAGCAGAAGTTCCTTGATGGCCATGATTCTGCCCATACTTCAGCAGGACTAAACTAAGGACAAGGATTGAGCAGAGTTCCTAGTTTCTGGAACCAAGGAGTGCCTCACCCTGCTGTCCTTTTGTGGGCTCACGTACCTGTCTGGAGGAGGATGCTGTCTGATTTAAGTGCTAAGAAGAGTGGAGAAGCCTAGGAAGAATGACTGAGACGGGCAGCCAAGGAGAACAGGATAACTGGTGGCCAAATTCACAGAAACGGAAGTCATATGAGGAAATGAGAGGCAAGAAGACTGAGGTTTGTGAGTGGTGCAGTCAGCCCTGAGACTTCTGGCAGAAGCGTCTTGTTCCATTGCAGAGTGGCTCACACAGAGTACAACAATTTTCTATCTCTACCTGTAACCCCATTCAAGTGGCAGAGGGTTGCCAAGTTCCAAGTCTGTAAACTACTACACAACTGGCACTGTCTGTCCGAACAGTGACCGTCCCTTCTCCATTCCTAGGAGAAGAGAAGGGTCTGCTGATGATTGCAATAGTGCGTCATTGTGTAATTTGAGAGTGTACCGTAACATCATGCACACTAGGCCAAATTAAGGTGACACAAGTGACTTCAATTCTGTCTGTCCCAAACTTGTCAGTGTTTGACTTTTCATCTTTAATTCTTATAATAAATGTATGTCATTACTGTGTTTTCCATTAGAGTAATCTTTTTTTTTTTTAATGGCATTCTGAATAATCCTGCCAATATAGAATGCGTAGGGTGCACCACTATTGCAATGTAATGTGCTAGAAGGATTCTTTTTGGTGACAATTTGCCTAGCATCTGTATTTGAAGTCTTGCGATACTTGCTTGGGCACCCCAGTGATGGTGTGTTCGGAGGGGTTTCCCGCTTGGGGAAATGAAGGCTGGAGCTCCACACTGGCTGCACCACCTCAAGGACTCCACTTACAGAGTAGATTCAAGGACAACCAGCAGTTAGTGCCACCGCACATGCACAGTGTGCGCTTAGGAGCAGTCATTGCTGATAAAGATGTGGTGAGGACAAGTCACCCTTAAACCGTAGCAGCAAATGGAACCCCAGCCTTCCTTCTTTAGGCTGTCCCAGTTGGTAATGTAGTTGTACCTATAGAGTATGAAATTTCTGAACGTGTAGGGCTGTACCCCGTCAGAGATGTTAGGAGGTCCAGACTGAGTTCTTCTTTCCCTTTCCTCAAACAGGACTTCCATTTTCTTCAGCTGAGATCTTTTGATTAAATGAAGACTTCAGAAATTGACTGTCTTTCATTACCATTATCATGTAATCACACTATCCTTGAACATTCAAACTTAAGGTCTCTCTCATCCATATCCTGTACTCTATGCCTTGCACAGTTTCATTCTTAATAACTTTCTCCTGATACCAAGTTTAAATCTGCTTTCCTAAGCTCTTGACCATTTGTTCTTTATCACAGGTGTTGCTGAGCACTCATAAAATCCCCTCTCCCGGGGTCGTTGCTATCTCACAGCTTTCACGTGATCTGTGCTTACCTTATGGTTTGTATAAAATAAAATAAGGATACGCTCTTGATCCTTACCAGTATTAAATGAGCCTATTGTCTTGTTTATGCCAAGAAATTACATCCTATTAGAACATGTCAGCCACCATGATTCAGTTCTCTAATGAAGATAAAGCCTGCTGGAGATTAAGGCACAGGTCTTTAGGAGAGATCTGAGATGGTGATTAATGGCAGGCACTGGGAGTCAAAATTTCTTGATTATACCTCTCTCTAACACTGACCTTTTCTATGGCCTTGTGCAAGCAATTTAGTCGCTAGTGCAGCAAACACTTAGAAATACCGTCAAGCTATTGCAGGATAAGAAGTTACCCCAGGTCAGCAGCTCTGATACCTTCAGAAATGTCCCACCAGCAGGAAGCTCTAGCTTGCTGCTAGTCTGTGGCCGTTCTTCTAACACAAGTGTGAATGTCTTACCAATGTTGTCTTATTAATTTTTAAGCGTGTGCTTAATTTTTGCAAGTGTGAGTTGTTCCCTTCACTGAAAACGCCTGTTTCAAAATGAGATCACTCTGCCTCACTTTTCCCATCTGCAAGAGATATAATGGTATTTGGCTACATAGTGCAGGTATTGTAAGAGTTAATTCCTATTTTTTTAACGTGCTCTATGGATCAGAAGTGCTGGGTAAGTTAACTTAGAGACTTCAGAATATTGCAGATTTATTGGAAGACATAAAAAGATGCAGTAAGTCACAGCTGAATGTGGTCCTGTCAACCTTGACAACATTCCCTTAAGGACATCAGTGGTTGTCAGTCTGCCGAAGCTGATGACATTAGATCTAATATTGCACAGATAAGCTTGGTGGTGGTGTTAGTTCTGCTCTCTTCCTGGATGACTCTGCAGTTTCCCTAGTTGATAAAGCCTGTTCACGATACCGATCTGTGAAAGCCGGGGAGTAAAACTGCCCTCTTTGGCATTTCTCTCCATGCGGTGCCTCTCTTTGGAGAGGCATTTTTCAGGCTTCCTGCGAGTGGGCCTCCCTGCAGAAGCAGTAGCTGCATCTGCCCGAATGCGTCATTCGAGACTGAAGAAGTCAACACCGCAGAGGCTTTGAGGAGCAAATTGTTTAGATTTTAAAGAAATCACGCTACCAGAATTGACCGTAGCTCCTCAGTCAGTCCTCCAAAGGGAAGCTGCCTCTTCTGAAGTGCTGAACGTGGAGGTAGAAAAGTGTGGGCAATTAAACAGACCTCGTTGAAGTGTTTGGGAACATGGTTAGCGCTAAGGCAGCTCTAATAAATGCTAACTGTGCTGAAACTGTTAGAAAAGTCTGAATTGCAGAAAGTCTTTCCCAGTGAGGAAGAAGTGGCTTTCAGGGGTGCAGAAGGTTTTGCTGCGTATATTGAGAGATCTAGATGCAAACGCTTGCTTCCACTCCTAATCTGTGAAGCAAGGATGAAAACACTCCCAGCCCGGCCAGGAGTGGGGTTAAAATACTCAAGGTTGCAAGGTACTCGCGTGTAGTGATGAAGAAGGCAATGTAAATGCCATACACATTTTCTCCCTTTTTGGACAGAATATGTCAAGCCGTTATAACTCCTGATACTGAATTCCTGGTTTTTTAAATATGTACAAATTGGAAAGCAAAGCTAACATTGTTGCCTCAGATATAAGTTAAAGAAATAATGAGGTAGTTTCTCAAAGAAACTCCTGTCTGGTAAGCAGATGGCATTACTAAGATAAAGATATTTTGCAGGAGGAGATGGCAAACATTTTGTGTTAAAATATTCCCAGAATCAGCATCCTGTTCTGCATAGGCAGGAATGGGATCGTAGTATGAAACTATAAAATGTAATAAAAATATAATATGAGCCTACATAAAGCAGTACGAAATCAGCATAATATGGATGCATCACTTTCTTTGGTGATATTTCTAGACTTCTAGGCACAATATAGTTTTGTTCATTTTAGAGATGGGGTACCTGCCTATAGGGATTGAGTGAGCAACCCCAAAAGGAAGTTTGCCTCTTCAAAATGATTGCCAGCATCCTGATTTTTTTGTGGGGGCTTTGTTTTAAAAAAGTCAGATCTCTCCAGTGTGCCTCGGATAGAGCACAGTGATATTTGGACAGATAATGCAGGAATCGTGCCTGGACTGTGGATTCTTACACTTCCCCATTTTTATCTTCTATAGTTGACTGTTCTCCTCTTCTAGCAGTCGAGTCTTTGTCTCAGCAGCTATTGGCTTTTTTTTTTTTTTTCTTAAGGCCATCTTAAAGACCATTTCTACTCTTCATGCCTCGGGTCATAGCAGTCTGCAGGGATTCCATCGCTCTTGGTGCTTAGCTTTGACATGTAGGACCTACAAATGCAACACCAACACGTTTAGAGCCACTACAGCGTTTAACTACATGGGATTCTTCCCTTTTCTGTATTCCAGATTTATCCAAGAGATAGAGCACGCCATGGAGCTTGGCCCAAGCAAACAGTGTCCACTCCGCGAGTTCCTCACCATGTACATCAAGAACATTTTCCTCAATCAGGTCCTAGCTGAGATCAATAAAGAGATAGAAGGAGTCACGAAGGCATCTGATCCGCTGAAAATATTGGCTAATGCAGATACCATGAAGATCCTAGGTGTGCAGCGGCCTCTTTTGCAGGTAAGAGCTGAGCAAACGACCGCAACCTTCACTTACTGTCTGTCTGTCCACAACTGAGCTGTATATCTGATTGGGACCCTCAGGATTTGTCTCCATTGAGTCTGTGACTATGATTTGTTCCAGCGTTTGCTTCTAGTACAGTCTTTTCTCTACTGATCTCAGTGTACACATGTAGAAGCCTCTTACTGGAAGAGCTTCCTTTTTTTCAAGCTGTAATGTGGACTAGTGATAATAGAAATAAGCATATTTCTAATCATAAATATATGGGTAGCAGAATAGTATGGAAGCCTCAAAGAAACTTCTGGTGTCGTACTTGTTGCGTGGGCCTGAAAGGAATGAAAGGTGCTGTGATTTTAACTTTTCAAATTATTCCTTGACGTCTATAAAATGGGGTCCTTGGGGTGAATAAATATTTGTAATGGAAATAATGTGCGTCTCCCGAGATTTATACTGCCACTTCCTATTTCTATATTAGTTTATATCTGTAAAATATATGTATATAATAATAATAGTTAATATTTGGAATAAGTCACTTGAATTTTTGCATGTGTAAATGGTTACTACAGCTGTGTTGATCTGCATGCTCTGGGTATGGGATGGTTCTCTGACAGGCAAAACAAAATCAGATTCCAGGGGAAAATCCTTAAAGCAGGAAACCCAGGTTCTTTAGATGGTTTAGAAAATCTCCTCAAGTTAAAATGGTGTTTTGCAACAACAGGGCTTCTCTGAACTACCATCTTCTCATCAGATATAAAAGTACAGCTTTAACAGCCTTCTCCCAAACTCTGTTGTAAACTGAGAAGTGGAAGAATACAGTGTATTATAAATAATCACCAACATGAAAGTTGTTTCAGCTTTAATGTTCACCGAGCATGCCCAACGTAAGATGAGAACAGGGTATTTCCACAAGAACGACTTATTTCTGGGTGTCTCATATTGAGCCCTCTCGTGAGATAAGGGCATATTTGATGGCGTTTGTCTTTTTTTCCCTTGGAACTGCAAGAGTCTCGTAGAGCAGGTGTAAGATACAATAGCAGAGATGCTGCAGAAGTGGTCGTGAAACATCAACAGAGTATTAAGGGCACCATTAATGAGCGCGGAAGGAGTTTTGCAGATCAAGAACCCCAGTGCATTGGCTGAGCTGGGATGGCAGGAGCACAGCAGAGAACGGCTGCCCTGCTGAAGAATTTACCTAATACTCACTCATTTTACAGTTATCTCCAATGCTAGTAGTTCCTCACTGTTGCAAGAGCCTAACTGGTAAGAAATAGGCCAAATCTGCTACAGTCATAGAAATGCTCCAAGCCTTGACTCCATTGAAGGTGCTACTGCAAGTTCATTTTGAGAGACCTAAAAGAAGAACGGGTATATTCCGTCTTGTATTTTGTATAAGTTTGTCTGTTTTCTGTTTGCTCTTGTGAGGATTAAAATGGGGAAGAACCTGAAATCAGTGTGCCCAGGCACCTGACCTTTCTGGGAGCTGGAAATACTTTATGGTAATCTTAACACAAAAGCGTTGGATCAGGACCACTGAAGCTTTTAACTTTACAAAATCGGTGTGGATGGATTCTTAACGAAATAATGTATTTATGTATGTAGATTGTTGCTTCATTTGCAGCCATGAAAATGTCTTATATCAATACATTTTCTTAAAGTTCATTTGGGGTTGAAAAGACAAAATGGCTTGGAATTTTCTCGTCCAATTCCTATAATTTGCTTCTCATGATGGATGGAAATCATTCTGAGCTGGAATTATTCTTGGTCAAAATGTACATGGTCAGAAGGTCTGCCTGTTCCCGACATTATAGAAGGGTAATTTTGTGAAAGAGAAGAAAAATTGCTGCCTTTTTGAACCAAGTCATCCAAATAGCTCCCTAAAATAATTCTATTGATTTTACATTAAAAAGAAAAAGTCTATTTCTGCATTGACAATGCAGGAGCCTGAAATCTTCACCCTCGTCATAACACGGGTACAATGAAAATACAGTGAACGATTCTTGATCCTCTCTCCCGGTAGTGTGTTGCTTTTTGCTGCCTTGTGTCGTTCGTGGAGGGGCTCGTGGTTGAGCCGCCCCGGTCCTTTCCGTCCTGCATATCTTTCTGAGACTCCCGCCAAAGGAGCCGGAGCTGTGCCTCGAACACGACTCCAGAGTTTATCAGCTACCCCTGCCCAAGCTGGTAATAGTAGCTTTTTGATAACTATCAGCCCATGTTTGAAGTGAACTAGCTCATAGATAAGAGAGTTTTCTAGCACCCTGCACCATCATATCCTTACGGCTGAATCACCCACGTCTGTAAAAGATTGCGCTAAAAAAAAAAAAAAAAAAGTTGTAGCTGCTTCTTGTAAATATTACATTTAACCAGGATGAAGGTCTTATTTTCCATTCTTTTGTCTTAAATGTAAAATACTGTAAATCCTTTCCCTTTAATGGTGACTGAATAAGCATGCAACTGATTTGTTCCAAAATTATTCCACACTAAACTTTATGGTGTAGTTGTTTAAATCAATACTAAATTAGGCTACCAGCGACTTGACAGCTCCTTATAGCCTGTGCTGGTGCAGTTGATGTCAAGGTGATAAATCTTTCCAGCTGCTCCCTGGTCACTGCTGCTGTTGGCCTTGAAAATGTGTTGCCAGTCTCTCTCCAACGCAAGTGCTTCGTGCTTTGCTCTTTCAAAGAGAGCGGTGTAGCGGAGTGGAGGAGCTTTCCTTTACAACATCTCTGCGACTGTTGGTCGTGACAGCAGAGTTGGGTGGGTGACGGCCACGATAGTTTTCTGACGAAGCTCCAGTGGCTGAAAATCTCTCTAAAAAGTCATTCAGAAGTCTGAGGGGGGCAGCTGGCTGCAGGGTAATGACTTGCTGGAGCTAATTACCCTGTTGCCTGCGCTGATTACGCCGCGCACTAAGTCACTTGCTCGTGACTTTCCAGGGAAACGTCACTGGTGGCCGTGGCATGTTTTCTGCCTATCAAATTGCTGCGTATTAAAAAGAAGAGTGGTCACAGCGAGTGGCATTTAAATGGCCCGCTAGTTGCGGTGGTTGCATGCTTTGATAGCCAGTGGATTTTATTGTTTATTGGTGTAAAGAAATGAGTTGTCTTTTCAGGCCGGCTTCCAGTGATCAGAAGCTGTTAAGGTACAGGCAGAGCTGATACAGTTGAACTTTTCCCATTCAGAGACAAGCGTGACTTTTTGAGGAAGCGCCTGTGGCTCTAGTCCCTGTATTTGAACCATTTTGCAATGACACGGTGTCTGGAACAATATTAAGTGCTTTGCAGATGTTTTCATCGCTGCGTGGCCTATTGGTTTCCGTTGCACAAGCGGGAAAGCTGAGATGTCGAGCGGTTAAGGCCGACTGACTGAATCAGCGGCAGCATTTCCAGCTGAACCCAGCAGTCCTGAATCCTAGTTTTCATTTTTAAACGAGAGACAAAATTATCTCTCCTTGGGTGTCTGAATCTCCCTAGCACTTTAATTATTTCTTTAGACAGTTCTTGCTCTGGGGGTGACATTTAGTGTGCCTACTGCCTTTTGCAGAAGGTTTTACAAAGCTAAGCTGCCATGTAAGTCATCAGCAGATCTCCAAGTCCTCCACTGAGGCTGATCGTGGAGTTGTAAGTTATATAAGAGCAATTGCTAGCTGTAGGCACACTGTCATGGCAGCGCTTCAGTTCATTTTAAAACTCAAGTTTTACGTGCACGTTCAGTAAAGCCTGGGTAGGAGATGGGCCTAAGTTGCGTCAGGACGTAATGGAACAGTTTACCTTGCAGGCAGAATTATTTTCTTCCTCTCCAGAAGTGGAAAAGGAAAGACCGGTTCCAGAAACCATCCCACCGATGTGTCTCCTGTTTGACCCAGAGGAAGCAGTTGCAAGACTGAGAAGCAAGCTCAGTCTCTGTGGCCTCTTAGTCTCTGCAGTCGCTGGTTGTGTATTTTATATAGGTAGGTGCAATCTTGTGTCAGAGCGGGCCAAAATCCATATAACCCCTTTTTATTCAGCGCTGAATCCAGGATAATATTCCCTGCCTTTTCTTACCCGAGGCTCAAAACCATGCTAATCTTAGCTCCGTGGCTGCTCCCTAGGGCGTGTTTGAAATTCTCTTCCATGTAAGCAATATCTTTGTGAGAGTGAAAAGGTTTTTCCTAGGTCTAATCTGAACCTCCCACACCACAGGTTTTGGCCACTGTCCCTCATTGTATCACATTTATGATCTGTAGAACAGAGCAAGCGTCTCCATTTAAATCACGTATTCTTTTTATTTCTGGAACTGTGTAGCCTATAAGCAGTGCATCTGCGTAAAGCACATTAGATGTGAAGCACATACTAATCCAGTGTTCCCACCCTTAATGCTCCTACTTATGGTTATATTTGATATCTAGTTTAAATTATTCCAGCGTTATTAGGTACCTCCCTCTTTTGTGCTCTTAGGGTCAGTCTAGCCACAGTGGTCGTGATAGTACTAGACATGAAAATGAGCATGGAGGGGTTTTATCAATGGGTCTAATAAAAAGATATTATGGGAAAAAATGGACCCGTTCATAAAAAGTTATCACCTGATCTTGTCTCTCTTAGCAATTGCATTGTCCTTTTTCATCAGTAGATCTTAAATGTTTTCAGGAAGGTCAATATTGTCATCCGTATTTATCAAGTGACAAGGTGAAAATGTAATTTAATTGGTAAAACTTGCTATTCAAAGCCTGCCTTTCTAACGCGACTTTCTCTGTAAATCGGTATCTTTGTGGTGCATCAGCCAGCACAGTTTCTAGGGTCCAAGAACTAATGCTTCAAGCATTCATATTGCTTTAATTCATAGCATTGGTTTTACTTGCTGAGGGTGGCACGTACTGGGCTTTTTAGGTGATGGCCCAGTCTGCAGCAGCTGCCTATTTCCAACCCCAAGCTTTGAGTTTGAGTTAAAATGTTGACCACTGCTCCAAACGTACTTTTTAACCAGCTGCTTCAGGTTGGAAAAGCACAGCTTGCTGAGTTGCTGCT